ACTACGTAAATTTAAAATGGAGCTCCCAGATGCTGTGCTAGCATTTAAGTTGCTAGATACGGCCGGTCTCAACATAAAAGACAAACAGTTAGTACTTACAGCCTGCCCCACCGTCACATTTGTTGATATGAAATCTGCATTGAAAAGAATTTTTGGAGACGTCACATCACCACGAGAGGGCAGCAGTGAGCCGCAAACGGCTGACAGCGAGTGCGCCTATTACACACGATACACTGGGAAGAGAGACGGTAAATCAAACTATCAACAAAATCAAGCGGTGGCGCAAGGAACAAACCCACTCGATAAACTTGGCAGAAGAACAAAATGTGCTGTTTGTCAGAGCACATTTCACTGGGCAAGAAACTGTCCAAACAAAAAGGAACATGTGAAGATAATTAAAGATGAAGGACAAAAAAGTGAATATGAGGAGTGCAATATCACTTTGTTTTCAAATGAGACTCTTTCAGACACAGACATCTTCATGGTGGAGGCTTTAGGGTCAGCAGTGATTGACACAGCTTGTACAAGAACAGTGTGTGGTGAGAAATGGCTTGAAGATTATACAAGAGGACTACCACAATGTGAGTTACAAAAAATAGTTGGAGAAACAAGTACAAGACCATTTAGATTTGGCGATGGCAAAGTGGTTCATTCTACAAGAAGAGTTACACTACCTGCAAAAATTGGTCAGACTAAATGCAAAATAGAAACAGAAGTTGTTCCTGCAAACATTCCCATGCTATTGAGCAAGGCATCACTAAAAAGGGCCAGTGCAATATTAGACATTGCATGTGACAAAGCCACCATGTTTAAACAGCCAGTTAAACTTGAGCTGACATCTTCTGGACATTATTGTGTGAACTTGAGAGATAAGAGTAAAGAGGAAACTCAAAATGAAGAAGAGGTACTCATTGTTAAAGAGGACATGAGCACAAAAGAAAAGGAAAAAATCCTTTTGAAACTACACAGGCAGTTTGGACACGCCTCCGCTGAAAGGTTGCAGAAGCTTCTCACCTGCGCAGGCACTCAGGACAAAGAAAGTATAGATATTCTCAAGAGAATTGTCCAAAATTGTGAAACATGTACAAGGTACAGCAAGCCAAAAAACAAGCCAATAGTTGGTTTGCCAATGGCCACAACTTATAATGAAACTGTGGCTGTCGACTTACATGAGCTTGACCACAACGTGTGGTATTTACATGTCATAGACCTCTTCACCCGCTTCAGTGCTGGGAGTATTGTCACAACAAAGAACCCCAAAGAGATTGTAAAGCAGTTCATTCACTGTTGGATCAGTGTTCATGGTCCTCCAAGCCGGCTATTTAGTGACAATGGAGGTGAATTCAATAACGAGATTATCAAGGACATGGCTGAAAAATTCAACATTGAGATCAAAACCACTGCAGCGTATAGCCCATGGAGCAATGGGCTTCTGGAAAGGCATAACCAAACGCTCACTGAAATGCTTCTGAAAGTTAAAAAAGACAACAATTGTGACTGGCATACAGCGTTAGACTGGGCACTGATGGCCAAGAACTCCATGCACAATGTACATGGGTATAGCCCCTATCAACTGGTGTTTGGACAAAATCCAAACCTTCCCTCGGTGCTCACTGACAAACCCCCAGCCCTTGAAACAAGCATTAACACCTGGATAGCTCAACACATGACAACACTACATGCAATGAGAAAGGCGTTTACAGAGGCAGAATGCTCTGAGAGACTCAGAAGAGCCCTTCGGAAACAACTACGACCAGTTGATGACAAGTATGTCACAGGAGACAAAGTCTACTATAAAAGGGTTGATTTCAATGAGTGGAAAGGTCCAGGGGTGGTACTAGGTCAAGATGGGGCTGTTGTATTTGTGAGACATGGGGGCTCCTATGTCAGGGTGCATCAATCTAGACTTAGAAAGGCGACTGAGACACAAACTAAAATGGCTGAAACAGAACGTAAAATGACAACAATCGAGACACCGACAGCACCACCAGCAGCAAATCTTTATGATGCAGAAAGTGACTATGAGGACACAACACAAGCAGACATTGGCCCATCTAATGTTGAGATTAATGAACTATCTGGTGCAATGGGCAGTGATGAGCAGTCACAAGCCAGCTCCTCCTGTGAAAACATAAAGCTGAAAATTGGCCAAGAGGTTAAATACATTGACAATGAAAGTGGTCAAAGTTGTACTGGAAAAGTCCTTGGCCGAGCAGGAAAGGCAACTGGAAAACACAAAGATTGGTATAATCTGCAGTTCAGTCAGCCTGAGGATAGAGCTGGCACATCACAGTCAGTAAATCTTGGCATAATGAACAATGTTCAAGTGATTTCGTCAGAGGTTGAGTGTACTGACAAAAATGGTGACGATGCATTTATTGTACAGGACGATGTCTTCATGGCAGCCAAACATGCAGAACTTGCAAACTGGAGAAAAAATTATGTCTTTGAAGAAGTTAAAAGTGAAGGTCAGAAATGTGTCCCAACAAGGTGGGTGTGCACACTTAAAGACACTGCTGCAGGGGTTGTACCTAAAGCGAGGCTAGTAGCAAGGGGCTTTGAAGAGCTGAACAGTCAAAGCCTACAGAAAGACTCATCCACGTGTGCTACTGAATCACTGAAAATGATTATGGCTGTAGTAAGTCAAAACAAATGGGAGCTTAACTCTATAGACATTAAAGCAGCATTTTTGCAAGGTAAAACATTGGAGAGGGACATTTTCATCCGCCCACCACATGAAGCACAGAGCAAAGGAAATGTATGGAAGTTGAAGAAGTGTGTTTATGGTCTCACAGATGCTTCTTTGTATTGGTATCATAGAGTCAGAGACACCATGCAGCAGTTGGGAGCCCGAGTGTCCAAGGTAGACCCAGCTGTATTTTACTGGCTTGATCGGTGTGGCCAGGTAAAGGGAATCCTCGCGTCTCACGTAGATGACTTTATTTGGGGCGGAACCAATTTTTTCTCCTCATCTGTCATCCCTCAGCTAAAAACTGCCTTTCAAGTTGGACGTGAAGAGCACACCAACTTCAGCTACATTGGAATGGAAGTTCATTCTGTAAAGGACGAGATACAAGTGCAACAGAAAGCATACATTCAAAATCTGAAACCTATTGCCATTGATCCCACCAGAGCATCACAGCGAGAAGCTGCATTGACAGAAAATGAAATGGACATGTTGAAGTCAAAGATTGGACAAATATTGTGGGTAGCAAGACAGAGTAGGCCAGACATTATGTGTGACGCATCAATCTTGGCTTCTGAGACCAAGCATGCCACAGTTCAAACTCTGCACTGTGCGAATAAACTTGTGAGAAAAGTAAAATCAGAAAATGTCATGTTGAGGTTTCAGCACCTAGGAGAAAACAGTTCGCTGAAACTAGTGGTATACAGTGATTCCTCCTTGGGAAACCTCTCAGATGGAGACACACAGGGTGGGCATTTCATAATGTTAATGGGTGAAAACGGAAAGTTCTCCCCTATCTCCTGGCAGTCCAAACGGATCAGGAGAGTTGTCCGGAGTACATTAGCGGGAGAAACTCTGGCATTTGCAGATGGGATTGATAGTGCAGTTTTCCTTGCTACACTATACTCTGAAATCACCACCGGGGACTGTGAATCCAAAGTTGTTCCCATTGTGTGCGTCACAGACAATCATTCTCTTCTGGATGCTGTCAAATCAACAAAATCTGTCACTGAGAAGAGACTGCGTCTTGAGATTAGCAGTATAAAAGAACTTCTACACTCTGGGACTATTCAGCAGATCCTATGGTCAGACACCAAAGAGCAGCTGGCCAATTGCTTGACAAAGAAGGGGGCATCTGCACTGAGTCTTCTTAAGGCACTTGGTGAAGGTGTCTGCCAGCTAAAAAACTGAACAAATACATTTAATGTGATACATTTGTTGTATGTTATGTTCTACATTGGTACTGCACTTTTTAAAAGAAAAAAAGGGGAGATTGTTAAGCTATGTTTCTATGTGCACAAATGAGGAGCGGTGATAGTATCGCGATGTTTGGGTGTTCATGTTGATGCTCACACGAGACTGTATTCACTTGTCTGCTATGTGATGGAGTAAACATCGTTTCCATAAACCTGTGTGTTTATTAAGCTAACATCCTGGATCTACAGTCTCAGTCCCGGACCTAGAAGCCCCAGTCCTGGATCTACAGCCTCAGTCCCAGATCTACAGCCTCAGCCCTGGATCTACAGCCTCAGTCCCGGACCTAAAAGCCTAAATACCAGATCTACAGCCTCAGTCCTGGATGTACAGTAAAGCCTGAAGACAGAGATGATCCAGAACATTTAGTGTATTAAATTAAATGTTTAGACAGTCGTAGGAATTTGTTGTAGACATCTTACTGCTATGCAGTGAAAGCTTAGTGGCGTAACTTTGAAACCACTAATTATTGAACTATGCAATAAAACGTATCAGGTTTCATGATGAGTGTGAGTTATGACAAAACCGCCAAAGGATTTAGTGAATCATCGAGTCTCTGATGGTTTTATTAAAGCTGGGGGTATGTACATATCAAACCTCAGCCATTAAAAATATACAGTATAATCCATGCCACTATTATTTTTCTCTCTCTGGTGTCTCTCTGGTCTCTTTCTCTCCGGTTTCTCTTTCTGTTGTCTCTCTCTGATGTCTCTCTCTCTCCGGTTTCTCTCTCTGATGTCTCTCTCTCTCTGGCGTCTCTCTCCCTGGTGTCTCTCTCCCTGGTGTCTCTGGTCTCAGTTGGCTTCTATTACTAGTGTCACATGCATGTATGTCTGGCCCTTTATCATATCTTTAGATCAGCTTTGTCAGACAGAGAAGTGAACAGGAGAGGACCACCCTCCCTCACATGTATGCAGCGATGAATGAGATGAAGACAGCATGTTTTACTTGTATATGTGACACACACCCTCAACCAAGATAATAACATGTTATGGAAATGAGTTGCTTGTAAAGGATTATGGTGAGTCGTTTGGAGTATTTGATCGTTGCAACGTCTTACCAGTGGGCCCATCTTGATCCGCGAGCCTTGCAGCATTTCGATTATTATGCTAATGTCTTTACGATTCGACGAAATGTTTCCGAACTTGTGGGATAAGTCTTTTAAACTCTCCTCCAGGTAAAACACATTGAGTTTGACCCAGCACATGCCCCCCTGAAAGAGAAGAGGGGTTCACAATGAGGACACGTGCCCCTGTTACACTGACGTTGGAACGTTGGAAAGCAGCCAATATCCTGGATGTGTTTCTTTTTGTGGTACTTTTGAAAGACAAGTTAGGTGAATTACTGTGTAGCAACATGGTCTCTCTCTGGTCTCATTCTCTGGTCTTGCTGTCTGGTGTCTCTTTCTTGAGTCCCACTCTCTGGTCTCACTCTCTGGTGTCTCCCCCTTTGACCTCTCTAGTTTGAGGGTTTCTCCTTTTTAATACATCTAACTTATCTTTTTTGAAAAAAAAAAAAAAAATATATATATATATATATTATATATATATATATATTATATATATATATATATATGTTAAAACAATATATATATTGTTTTAACTCAAGAGGACAAAATCCATTTTGAATCAGTTCCTGGTATTATAACTATAGTCATCTGCCTGAGGAGCAAGGGCATAACTCTAAATTAAAGCGGATCCTCAACGAACCCCTTCCTTACCTCGTTCCTTGGAATGTAACGCACAGGAATTTTGTAATCTTTAGGAATATTCTGTCTCTGCAAAAGAAAACACAACAGGATACATTTCAGTTAGACTTTTGAAGGTCTCTGCCAGGTCTTTGGAGAAAGGGCAGGCTCCTTTTGTGGCACCGGCACCTGCCACAGCTGATCAGTGGCATGTACACAACAAATGGCGTTTAAAACGGCATGTGGGGAATAAATGGCGTGTAAAGCGGCATGTGGACAACAAGTGGCGTTTAAAACGGCATGTGAGCAACAAATGGCGTTTAAAACGGCATGTGAGCAACAAATGGCGTTTAAAACGGCATGTGAGCAACAAATGGCGTTTAATACGGCATGTGGGGAATAAATGGCGTGTAAAACAAATACAGTTGAAAGCAGCCTGTACAAAAGACAACGAGCAGCAGTATTAGAGATAGTGGTCCAGTGGCTCAGATGGAAAAGCACAGGTCTAGGTGTTGATGGTTGCTAGTTCAAATCCCCAGTGACTACCAATGACATTTGCTGATGTTGGGTCCTTGGGCATAACACTTCATGGAGAATGTCAGAAGTGCCATAAGTTGTTTGAAAAATGTAGTTTGAGTTATAATAAATTAAATTTAAAATTTGTTGAAGACTTAATTTCATGTATTATACGTGGTTTAGATTTGAAAGAAGTGTATATTCCTGTGGCGCAGTTGGTTTATACCTGTCTCTCATGCGGAAGATTCCTGGTTCAAATCAAGGTCTGGTATTTATTTTTTTGTTGTCAGAATAAATACAAATTGAATATGTATGAATATATATTTCATACATGTGGCTATGTGTTGTTGCAATAGTAATCTTGCATTAGGATTAATATTGCATCATCGTTAGGGTAAAACTAAATGATGTGTAAAACACTCAAGACACAATTTTACTTAAAACCACCTGGTGAGTGGTATAGTTGGTGTGTGTCCGCCAATCAAGCAAGAGTTCGCAAATTCAAATCCAGCCAAGATCAAAAACTTTTTTATGACGGTTATTTCTTTATACATTTATATATCTATAAATATCTATATATATCTTTATATATATATATACAGTTTTTATATAACTGCCATTCAAAAAAAAAAACGGTACTTTGATTCGATCTGCCAATCTTACGCACTCTAGACGAATGTTTAGTGACTGCGCCACTTATTTTGTGTTTTGGCAAAGAAAAAACCGAAAGATTCTATTGTTGTTTTAGGACATTTCATCAAGAATGTAGCCAACCAAAGATGGTGAAGAGTAGAACAAGCAGAAAGTTGTGTAATTGGAACATGAGGTTTCATCTCTACATTGTTAAAATCTTCATTTCTGTTCTTGGACCGTTTAAGCTGTGTCTTATACTTTGCATTCTTTTACAAAAAAATATATGTATTAATGCTCTTTCTTATTGTTCCGTGTTTCTGATGTGGTTTTATTAAAGAAGAGAGAGAAATAAAATGATTTTTTCTTTTGTATATATATATATATATATATATATATATATATATATATATATATATATATATATATAATGTCATACATATTAAATTTGTATTTAATCTGACAAAAAAAAATAACGTCCTGTCCTGAATTTGAACCAGGTATCTTTCGCATGAGAGGCAGTTATAAACCAAGTGCACCACTGGATGACGCAGCTCCTGTGGAATTTAAACTATATATAATATATGTAATTAAGTCTTTCAACAAATGTATGCAATAACATATATTATTATTTATGGGGTAAGGTTACTGTCAATAAAGACGTGCATGTCTAAAAAAAATGCGTGCATATTTATTGGTATTTGTGCATAATTTATTTTTATGAATTCATGATTAAGATAATACAAACTAAAAAGACATGGAATTTCGTAATTAAGAATAAAAAAATATAAAACTGTATGTGTGATTTCGTACTTGTGAATACGATTCTTTTTTGTGTGCTTGCATTTTCTTTTAGAGAATACGAATTTCAGCAGTGAGCAAACTGTCAATAATACGTCACTGCTCACAGACATTAACAATCGAGCCTGCACAGAGTCGATCATGGCAGAGGGCAACAACATTAACAATTTGGCTCAAAATCAGGTAAATAACTATATTTGATCATTTTGGTCGTAAATAAATGTGTAAGAAATATTAATTCCATAAAATGTGTTCATAAGATGTTTCTTGTCCCTCTCTAGAAACGTTTTTTTAGGCAGTGTTTAGTTAACACTAGCTTCAAGGCTAGTTTTACAGCTTACCATGTTATTTTAAAACCAACATTTTTACATTCTTAGCAGTTACATTTTATGAAGCCTTTGCCCCAAATCAATGTGGTTAAAGTGTTGATACCAGCCCCAATCCTCCAGATTATTCATAGTTCGCGCTGTTACTGCCCCTGAGCAATACGAAGTTCACCTCCGTGCTATATTCATCCTTGGTTGTTAGACGTAGCAGACCCAAGCCCCGGCGATCCAAGATGGCGCCCTATTCAAATTAATGGTTGTGCTCAGTGGCGCTTTGTGACGGCATGGGGGCTGAAAGATTAGCGGAAGTTGCCTGAAACTCGCAAAGATCTATGGGAAACTCGCCTGTATTTGGGCATCGTCTGGTCCTCCCGGTTCTGCGCAGTGGATGATCTCCCATAATGCGTTGCGCCAAACACGCGTGTGTGGGTCTCACACCGGGTCTTACACACGTGCACAGAGGGGCTCGGCCGCGCTCTGACCAATCAGAGCAGTTCATCAGAGCGGGAGTTAGAGCGAGAGCCAGACGAGCAGAGTTTGTTGCACTAAAGTGTGGATTTAAACAAAACCGAAGGATTTAAGAAGAAAAAAAGTTCAGGATGACAAGGGACACTAAAATCCCCACAAAATCCGATCTTTATTAAAGCTGTAGGTTCTCTGTCAGCTGAGGTTGAGCTGTTTTAATATGCATTGAGTTCTATGGGGAAAATTTCTGGGTAGCCCACGTGAATTTAGTCTGGTTCAGTCTGCAGTACCGCGAGAATCCCCTGAGCACGTGAGTTATTCAGCTACAAGCTAGTAATACCCTATCCAGTTAATATAATACATCCATGAGCAGACCCTGTCCCTGTGGACCTCAATCTTATATTTGTACATTTGACACATTACTTTTACTCACTAGTTCAGTAAGACTAGTTAGTCTGTTGTTTAGACTAAAATAAATGCATTATTTTCTGTAGAATAAAACAATATAAGGATAAGAAAATAAAACTAGCATTGGAGCTAACAACACTGCCAAAAAACCTTTAGAGGGACAAGAAACATCTTCTTATGAACACATTTATGGAATTAATATTTCTTACACATTCATTTACAACCAAAATGATAAAATATAGTTATATACTTGATTTTGAGCCACTTTGTTTATGTTGTGTCCTTCTGCCATGTTTAGTTTTTAGGCAATGAAGTTGATCAACTCTGTGCAGGCTCGATTGTTAATGTCTGTGAGCAGTGACGTATTATTGACAGTTTGCTCACTGCTGAAATTCGTATTCTCAAAAAGAAAATGCAAGCACACAAAAAAAATCGCATTCACAAGTACAAAATCACACATACAGTTTTATATTTTTTTTATTCTTAATTACAAAATTCCATGTCTTTTTAGTTTGTATTATCTTAATCATGAATTAATAAAATATTTGTATGCACAAATACCAATAAATATGCACGCATTTTTTTTAGACATGCACGTCTTTATTGACAGTAACCTTACCCCATAATTATTACTCAAACAACATTTTTCAAACAATTTATGGTACTTCTGACATTCTTCATGAAGTGTTAGGCCCAAGGACCCAACATCAGCAAATGTTATTGGTATGCACTGGGGATTTGAACTAGCAACCATCAGAACCATAGACCTGTGTTTTTCCATCTGAGCCACTGGACCACTAGCTCCGCTAATGCTGCTTGTTGTCTTTTGTACAGGCTGCTTCCAACTGTATTTGTTGCCCACATGCCGTTTTAAACGCCATTTATTCCCCACATGCCGTTTTAAACGCCATTTATTGCCCACATGCCGCTTTACACGCCATTTATTCCCCACATGCCGTTTTAAACGCCATTTATTCCCCACATGCCGCTTTACACGCCATTTATTCCCCACATGCCGTTTTAAACGCCACTTGTTGTCCACATGCGTTTTAAACGCCACTTGTTGTCCACATGCCGTTTTAAACGGCATTTATTGCTCACATGCCGCTTTACACGCCATTTATTCCTCACATGCCGTTTTAAACGCCACTTGTTGTCCACATGCCGCTTTACACGCCATTTATTCCCCACATGCCGTTTTAAACGCCACTTGTTGTCCACATGCCGTTTTACACGCCATTTATTGTCCACATGCCGTTTTAAACGGCACTTGTTGTCCACATGCCGTTTTAAACGCCATTTGTTGTCCACATGCCGCTTTAAACGCCATTTGTTGTGTACATGCCACTAATCAGCTGTGGCAGATGCCGGTGCCACAAAAGGAGCCTGCCCTTACTGGGTCTTTGTGAGGTCTATGTGAGGTCTATGTGAGGTCTATGTGAGGTCTATGTGAGGTCTATGTGAGGTCTATGTGAGGTCTATGTGAGGTCTCTGCCAGGTCTTTGTGAGGCCTATGTGAGGTCTCTTAATCTATATTAACATTGTTTATTTATATTCTCTGCTGCTAAAGTAGAATATACACATCTGTAAATACCTCCTGCTGACCACAGAGTATTTTGCACTAGTGTACTATCCTAGTGCAATTATGGTCAGAGTTATACTTCATTTTATTTTCATATTACTTAGAATATTGTATTATAATGGATCCTGTCGAATGTGTACAATCTGAGTGACATTGATATTTCCCAGCTGTGGGATGAATAAAGGTTTATCTTATCTTAGGTGATGTCACTGTATGTAGTTGTCTGTAGTTGTCTGTGATGTTGTTGGAGAATACAAGCAGCAAATGAGAAACATACTGTCAAAAAAAAGCACAATTGGATCTGGAAACAGCGAGGCCTCAAAAGTACACAAACTACACATACTGCAGTACTCCACACATACTGCAGTACTCCACACAAACTGCAGTACTCCACACAAACTGCAGTACTGACCAGGATGCTGAGCTTCAGGATGTCGTCCGTCACCGGGTTTCCGTCGAACTCGAGAGTTTGTCCTCCAAACACGATGAACAGCAGTAAATGGACACAGAGACGTATCCAACTCTGAGGAGCACAGAACACACTGTAAGTACGACTGCTGCTGTTACTGCTGTTACTGCTGCTGCTGCTGCTGTTACTGCTGCTACTGCTGCTGTTACTGCTGCTACTGCTGCTGCTGTTACTGCTGCTGTTGTTACTGCTGCTGCTGCTGTTACTGCTGCTGCTACTGTTGCTGCTGCTGCTGTTACTGCTGCTGCTACTGTTGCTGCTGCTGTTACTGCTGCTGCTACTGCTGCTGCTGCTGTTACTGCTGCTGCTACTGTTGCTGCTGTTACTGCTGCTGCTGCTGCTGTTACTGCTGCTGCTACTGTTGCTGCTGTTACTGCTGCTGCTGCTGCTGCTACTGTTACTGCTGCTGTTACTGCTGCTGCTGCTGCTGCTACTGTTACTGCTGCTGCTGCTGCTGCTACTGCTGCTGTTACTGCTGCTGCTACTGCTGTTACTGCTGCTGCTGCTGCTGCTACTGTTACTGCTGCTGCTGCTGCTGCTGCTGTTACTGCTGCTGCTACTGTTGCTGCTGCTGCTACTGCTGCTACTGTTGCTGCTGCTGCTACTGCTGCTGCTGCTGCTACTGTTGCTGCTGCTGTTGTTACTGCTGCTGCTGCTGCTGTTACTGCTGTTGCTGCTGCTGCTGCTACTGTTACTGCTGCTGCTGCTGCTACTGTTGCTGTTGTTACTGCTGCTGCTGCTGCTGTTACTGTTGCTGTTGTTACTGCTGCTGCTGCTGCTGCTGCTGTTACTGTTGCTGTTGTTACTGCTGCTGCTGCTGCTGCTGCTGTTACTGCTGCTGTTACTGCTGCTACTGTTGCTGCTGCTGTTGTTACTGCTGCTGCTGCTGCTGCTGTTGCTGCTGCTGTTACTAAAAAGCATTAGTTTCACATACAGTAACTCTTGTTTGGTCACACCTGCCCCAATAATACAGTAATACTCTACTACTACTGCTACTAAAGCCAGTTGTGTGGATTTCTTAAAGCTGGGGTAACTTTCATAAATAATACATGTTGATTGTTCTCGTAAAAATCTTGTAAAAGTAAGGTGTGAACAAAGAGCCCTGTTGATCCCTATTTGACTCTTTGGTCTTAGAGCTCATTGGCATTGGAGTAAAAATACAGAAATACATGAAAACTAGTGATAGAAGCAAACTGTTTTGAGAACAAGGAAATTAATAATAATAATAATAATAATAATGCATCGGTTTCATACAGCGCTTTTTTGGACACTCAAAGACCCTTTACATGTCATTATTCATTCACTCCATACACGGTGGTGATAAACTACTACTGTAGCCACAGCTACAATAAATTAAGTTAAGTACCCTAGCTTTATTAAAAAATCATCTCCACATCGTAAATAAAACAGGTTTGAGGTAGCAAAACACAGATTAAATTTGTGTTTCATTACCTAAGATGAACCACACCTAAAACGTACGTCTATGGGAAATGTCTCGCAGTACAAGTGTGTCAGCCAACTGAGCCTGTGATGTCACCGCTCCGTCTGCTACAGTCAAGTCTTGTTGGCTGTAATCATTTTGTTTATTAAACTAGATCTAGAAGTGTGACACTGTCTGAAGGGTGTTGCTGTTTAAACCTGTCTTCTGAAAGACTCTTCACTACTCTACTCTACTCAATCATAAATACACCTTCTGTGTCATCCAGCCAACTTAATCTCCACCAATACAGACATCCCGTATGTCATTGTAAACTCAGAACCTCAACTCTGTTGTTTACTTTGACTAAGCCAACCTGTGATTGTGATCATGTCAGTGAAAAGGCACACGTAGATAATCCATATTATTATATGACTTGGACCGTACGCGCGCTCTGATTGGCTGATTAGCGGTCAGATATTTTTCCATCTCGGACAGTTACCATGACGATTGGTCCGAACAGCGCGTTTCACATTTGATATCTTTCCTCGGACCGTTACCATGACAATCTGTCCGCAGCCCGTATCACACAAAACCAAGTTTGACATGAACATACTTCACAAATATCTCAAAAGCATTGGTAAAGACACAGACCAGAGTCATATAATAAAACATTTATTAACCTCGCTTGCTCGGTCTGTGCAGAGAAATATCGGACCTTGGCCTTTTTGCACAGACCTCGCCACGGCTCTGTCTGTACATTAAGGCTGATATTTCTCCATACAGACCTCGAGCTCGGTTAATAAGCCGTTATTCTTTAAATTCAGCCAACTTCAGCTCCGTCACATGTGAATCATTGTGAATATCGACCTCATTTAAAGCTCAGAACACATGTCTCTGTCTCTGCACAAGCATGAGAGCAACAAGGGCAAGCATTGTTCTCTGGTCTCTCTCTCTGGTCTCTCTGGTGGTCTTTATGTTATTGACAAACGAACAACTTTTGTCTTCTCAGCTGAAGGTTGGCCGTTCAAATCCTGCTCCCGACTAGGGGTGTGCAAAACATATCGTAGAAGATAATGTCGTAAAAGTGAATTTGCATGCTTATCGTCTTTATTTTTTTATTATTTTACATATTTCCAATTCCATATTACAATTAGAGCAGGCAAGATGCTCATTCGTCAAATGTGTGCCGTTTGTGCATTGCAAAGATGTGTGAAGCACTTTACAAATAAAAAGCTGCTATTTTGATCTACACTGTCTCTATCTATAGATGCCCTGAAACAAAACATTTCAGATAATTTTGTATAAAAATTTGATTTTAAAGATATCATGATGCTATCGTTATCAGGAGTTGGGAAAATAATCAAGATATTTATTTTTGCCCTTATCACCCACCCCTACTGCGGACATAAACAGTATTGAATACTGAACCTGCTTGGTCTGCGTACACATGTGCATGTGTGTGTGAGTGGGACAAACGTGTTGCAAAAACATGACCATGTAAATAGTTAGAAGTGTGATTCCCATATTTCCTAGTTTTCTCTCTTGTGTACACGCTGTACTGCTTTCATTCATGTTAATGGACACATGTCATGTAATAATTGTATCTAAATTAATTCTTTCTCTTGTCAGATCTGGTTTGGTGTCATTCTCATGCAGCCGGCGTAACACGAGCAGAGCCACACCTGCCATTGAGCATATGCAGGCCTGATGGCTCATGAACCACGGCTGTCAGTCAAGCGACACACCGTCAAAACATAATGACTGGAACCTGATCTGCTGCAGCAAGAGCTCCGTTTGGACTTGATTCAGTTGTGTGTGAGTTATAAGGTGTACAAAACCATTTTAATGAACTCCCAACAGCTTCCAAGGAGCTATTTCTGGATTAGTGATTTCCCTTCCACACTTTCTCTGTCAGTGGGTCAAAGATTTCCTCAGTGAAGTGGGTCAATACCAAGCTTCGGGTCTCCAAGATGTCTGTCCTGGGTCTCAAAGATTTCTGTCCATTCAGATCAATGCATTTGAATGGACAGATATCTCATCGGTTCATTCTCTAATTAACACGTAAAAGACAAGACAGAGAGTGACCAGAGAGAGACCGGTGAGAGACCAAAGAGAGAGGGACCAGAGAGAGACCAGAGAGAGACCAGAGTGAGAGACCAGACAGTGGGACCAGAAAGTGGGATCAGAGAGAGACCAGAGAGAAGGGCCAGAGAGGGACCAGTGAGAGACCAAAGAGAGAGAGACCAGAGAGAGACCAGAGAGAGACCATAGAATAAAGTCTGAGTGTGAAGACCAATAAGAGTGGGACAAAAGCACAAAAGTCCTCCTTTGTGAAAGCTGTAGGTTCCCTGTCAGCTGAGGACGAGCCGTTTTAGTGAACTCTGAGGTGTTCTCTTCTCTGGCCTCTAGTCCATGTGGAGCCAGGTTTGAGAGCCTCAAGAGACAATATCACAATGTAAAAACCAGGATCACAGAGACCACTGAACCACCGATTCAATATTTTTATACAGTTTATGCTCACTTCAACCATGCATTGCGTTATGTGATCTAATATCACTTAGAAATGCCTAAATGCACTTGTTGTGGCCCATGGGTGAGGAGACGGACAAGTGCCGCTCCTAATTGGCTCTTGGTAACTCAGCCGTTGCTATAAGTAACAGTTGCACACATTTGGCTCCACATTCCCACTTAATTTTGCATCCTAAATTCTGTGTTTACACTTTTCTCATGTTTTAATCCTCCATCTTTAATTTGTCAAGTACAATAATCCCTCTCTTCCCCACTTCAAGCTATACACTTCCGTCTGCTCATTTCCAAGTCCTGTTGCCAGATTCAAGTCTTAGCAAGCCTGTTTCTGGATCTGGGTTCTGTTAATGGCTAACTGAACTCAAATCAAAGTGTTGGAGACGCCACAGACACAAATCCAAGAGCACGCCATGAGGCAGGGTTGATCAGAGAAATTCAAACACTGACAGAACCAGGAAATATGCAAATCTCACTTTACTGCACACGCATGAAAACGTAGATAAACAATACAGCCTCAGTCCTGAATCTACAGCCTCAGTCATGGATCTACAGCCTCAGTCCTGGATCTACAGCCTCAGTCATGGATCTACAGCCTCAGTCCTGGATCTACAGTCTCAGTCCTGAATCTACAGTCTCAGTCCTGAATCTACAGCTTCAGTCCTGGATCTACAGCCTCAGTCCTGGATCTACAGCCTCAGTCCTGGATCTACAGCCTCAGTCCTGGATCTACATCCTCAGTCCTAGCCTGATTGTACCACACCATAGTACAAATTACATTTCGCCCCGTGAACAGGTGGGAGGGGTTAACTCGTTTTGCAGATTGAAACGATTGGATCTGAGTTTACCGTGACGTGTGTAATGCGCCTGAGTCTGTTGTTAGCATTTAGCATTTAGCCTGGCCATCTCCTTTGCCGCTAACGGAGCCCGTGGGGAGTAGCGCCACAATCATTGCCAGCAATGACTTTTGCTATACATTCCTCTTGCTCCAGCTTCAATTTCTTGATAGAACCAGACCGGATCACTTTACTATCAAATTCTTCGCCATTGCCAAACTACAACCTGCTTGCAAACACAGGGACCAGACCCATGCAGAAAAATAATGATTGACCGAAGTATAAGGATGGCTCAGGCCAGGCTACCTCAGTCCTGGATCCACATCCTCAGTCCTAGATATACATCCTCAGTCTTGAATCTACAGCCTCAGTCTTGAATCTACAGCCTCAGTCCTGGTTCTACAGCCTCAATCTAACCCTAAAACTTAAGTTAAGTGGGTGAGAAACCTTCCTTTGCTTTAAGTTAAGTACCATAACTTAGGAGGGGTACTTAACTTGTATATGTATATCCATGACTGTATATCCTCTGTCCTGGATATACATCCTCAGTCTTGAATCTACAGCCTCAGTCCTGGATCTACATCCTCAGTCGTGAATCTACAGCCTCAGTCCTGGATCTACAGTCTCAGTCCTGGATCTACAGCCTGTCTGTCCGTGGGAGCAGATCCCTCCGACAATATCAGCCTGAGGAGCCAGAACGCAAGATGGCAACAAACTTCTTTATAGCTGTGATCGAACAGAACACTAGTGCAGGAGCTAACACAACTCTACAAGGAAGAAGCCATTTCAGTACATCCAGTTTTTTCCCCAGATAATTTTGTAGTGATTATATCCATAAAGAGAGAGACCAGAGAGAGACCAGATCTCCTTTCTCACCTTTGAGACACCTCATCTGTCTCTGCCAATCATCAGGCCTGTTTCAAAGAAAATTCTTCTCATGGACCTTTACAGCTGCTCCTCAGGAGCACATCACCACCCTAAGTAAATATTCATATTTAAAGCTGTGGTGCTTAACTTTCAGACAGTGGCGGACCCTTGCTGGCCTTCACTGCTGGCCTAAACATGATTACATATATACAGTATATATATTTTTATACTATAAATAATTGTTCTTAAACATGGAAAAAATATATATATATATTTTTCCACAAATATACGTGGTATACATGTATAAACTTCAGGTTGACATTTGAGAGGTCTGGCGTCTAATAGAGTTTTTATCCAATCATTATTCAGCATCATGTGTTGCTATGGCCCAAAATCTGCCTCTAGGCCTTCAGACTCTACATTGCTGGCCCCCGGTAGCTTAAAGTCAATGAAAACAAACATGTGGCATTAACCAATCAGTGTCAAGTCTGCTTCGTCAAGGCCACCTAGCAGGCCCTGCGCGGCGTCAGACCGTGCATGCCTTTTGATTGGATACACGATACAGACCTGACATGGATCTACGTTCATGTGATAAACAGAAACAAACACAAATGCTAATAAGTGTAGCACAAATACTTGTTTTAGTTTTTCAACCCTCTACGGCTGAAGGCGGCGAATATATTGTTCAGGTAGATAGTTAGAACACCTTTCTCAAGAAATACAGAGACAGAGGGACCAGGAGAGCCAGGATTATGCTCTGGTCCAGAGGATACACAGCTGCAGCAGAGCTGAGGCTAAAAGCTGATGGGAATAACAATTCGTCAATAAGCTAAACTGTTGAGCTAGGCTAATCATGGATCTATTATAGAGGCTAATGCAGAAGACACACGGAGCCGCGTCCGGTCACAACCGGTAAGAAAACAGAACATTAAAACTCATACGCAATACTTATATTGTAGTTGGACTTTCCCACATTAATGCTCAAAACTGTGTCCTGAACGCTTGAGTTGCAGTCGGTCATGTTCTCAGAGTCTCAGATACTGTCAGAGAGAGAGAAAGTTACGCATTGTGCACGAGTGCGTCAGGGTGTGTACAAACTACAGCGATGTGCCTCCAGTCATTTTAACACAGGAGGCACACTGCTGTGGGGAGGGGGGGTCTGTGGCACAAAACAATTTAGAGATCGCTGGTTAGGACATCATTGCAGGCACAGGTCTGAAATGCACGGGCCGCCACTGCTTTCATAAAATCTATGTCTCCAGATCCTGGCTCTAAA